TGTGTGTGTGTGTGTGTCTGTGTGTGTGTGTGTGTGTGTGTGTGTGTGTGTGTGTGTGTGTGTGTGTGTGTGTGTGTGTGTTGCACTCCTCTAAAACGTGGCGTTGAAAAATCGCTGTAATAAAATCGTGCATACGCAGCAATCGGTCGGTAAGTATGTGTGTGTGCGCGCGTGAGCTTCTCGCGGTTTCTCACACGTTAAGAAGACGATTTTTTCATCCTTAAACGAGACTTACTAAGCTTAATTTACGACTCTAGTCGGCGATTAACCGCTAAGCTGTCGGATTGAACTCGGTAATTCGGTTGTCACGGCTCTTGGCCGTATTTCTTTTTTTTTTTTTTTTTCTTTTTTCTATGTTTTCTTTTCCTTAGATCGTTTTCCCATTCTTTTCGTTGACGCGCCCTAAAAAAAATCGGTCGATTCTTCCTCTGGTTCGCGCGAAAAGGCACGCGACTGGCCGCTGCGACTTTCTTTTGTCGAGTCTTTCCTTTAATTCTTGGACTATTTTGGAATCGCTTTGGTTTCGAGCTCTCAGACATTCGGCTGCCCGAATTTTTCGCGGCCTGCAACACCGAAAGTTTCCAAACTTTCGAGCTCTTGAACATCGGAACTTCGGAATTCTCGAGTCTTTGAATAATCGAAGTTCTCGATTCCTAATTATCTTTTCTTTTTGCAAATTTTCAAGCTTTCGCGTATTGGAATTCACGAATTGTCGATCATTCGGATACTGGAATTTTCAAACTTTCGCGCTTCCAAGTGTCGGAAACTTTCGAATTTTCGAGCTTTGCAAACACCGAAAACCTTTCGAAAATTCTCCGATTGATGAAGTCGAGTCTTCTGATCTTTCAGCAGAAAATTTACGAGTCTTCGAACTCATTCCTGTCGTTCCAAAGTTCCTCATCCTTCCGTATCTCTTCGATCGCCGAGTCGAAAAAGCAACACAATTTCGAGCGTACCGCAATTACGCTCCCTCGCTTGTCCTCGATCGCTCTTTCACGAAGACGAGGACGAAGCAAGAGAGGGAGGACACAAAAATTCCACCCCCTGTCTGTCAGAGATCATTAGACTGCTGACTTCTGATTACATTTATAGGAAATTTGGATAAAATGCAAACAATACGGCAAGAGTACATAAAATATTTCGTGCGTACGATTCTGTGTATATTTTATATTTATTTTAGTATATATAGACGAAAATATAATAACTTGAACTGAACGAATAAAATGTAATCATTTATTACGACGACGTTTTATATATTTAAACATATCTTAGGAAAATAGAGAAACATCACACCGATTTATAATACCAATAACAAACAATAAAACAATTTCCCACCCAGGTTTCGTATTTTCTTTTTTTTTTTTTTTTTTTT